TTAATTATTAATCATAAGTCAAACCTAATGCACGTTACAATCTATGAGGGTATTTTAGTAACACGAGAGTTATTAAAACTGACATATCAAGCTTGTTAGGAAAATTTGCTTAGTTGGACAAATGACAAAATCAAGAGGATGGGTTATTTATTATTTATTTATTTATTTATTTATTTGAACAAGCAATATTATCTACACTAAGGGGAGGGGTGGGCTTAGCCTTACATTGTGCTAGCAATAATGTGGTTCAAATTCGTCTTTGGAGAGAATTGAACTTAAGACATCTCACTTACAAGTGAAAAGAAATACCACTAAACCGTATTACTAAGTGGCAATAAAGAGGATGGGTTTTAGGTGAGAGAAAATAAGTTTTCAAGGGTAGAACTCACATTTTCAGAAGAAAAAAAATAACAAAATATATTACCCCTAAGATATAGATAAAATAATAATTTAAAAGAGAATCAAGACATTTTCCAATATCGTAAAGTTTCGAGTAGGTTCAAAAGCATATTATGACCAAACACATTTTTTTTTCCTTCTCCTGAACACCCTTATTTATTTATAGATTTTGAATTGAATGAATCAAAAAAGAATTAGGCGACAAAAATAAAGAAAGATGTTGATGCTTAAAATTGGTTTAACCTCAAGGTGACCTCTATAGATTGAGGTCATGCAATTCTTTCAAACCAGCTTGGTGTGATCCGGCATCTCGTCCTCTAAAGGCTAAAGCAGTAAAGCTCTACAAAAAATGGTCTCATTTGATCTTTAATATGTGTTGAGGTCCTGCCATTCCTTCTTACCAACTTGACGTGATTCCGCATCTCATCCTCTAAAGCTCTACAAAAAATGGTCTCATATGAACCTTAGATGGATTGAGGTGCCATTCTTTCATACCAGCTTGGCGTGATCCGGCATCTTGTCCTCCAAAGATCTGTAAAAAATGATCTCATTCGATCCTTAGATGAATTGAGCTGATGTGAGCTTTATCCACATTGAGCCCAGGTTCATGATCTAATGGGCCCCTGAGTACCACTTCGTCGAGGTATGGAATCCAAGTGGCTCATCTATCATATCCTACATACTGGTCGTCTTTGACCTAAGATAAAATGGTTTATTGGGTATAAAATATGTTTGTCCCTCACACCACAACTTTGTAATTATCTCGGCTCACTTTACGATGTACTTTACCTCAACAATTAAAGATGTACAAAAGAAGAAAATGGAATGCGGATGTTATTTTTAATAACCGATTACCCATGCATCGTGAACCTTCCCAATATTTCGGCTGTAGTACTAATTATAGCCGCGGGTTTGCTGCCTTGTCTTCTTGCATGTTTTTCTTTGGTAAAATTTGACACGTATTCTACCACTTAACAGAATCTTACCACTAAGTTTTATATTAAAGATTAACAGAAAAAAAAAAACAATAATTCTATAAAGTTCTCCAGCCGCCGGGTCCCGTCATGATCTAAGCATTGGAAATCCTTTTCACTCTTTTGATCTCCCCAAAAAATGGCTTAATTTTCTTGTGAAGCATGTGTGCAAAAATCCAAATAGACTCAAATTCTTAATTTTGAGCAGTTACAACTTTGACCCAATTTTGTGACGCTTAGTCGACATTCCACTTTCTTAGTTTAGATAAAATCGTTGTTTAGAAAAATAAAAAATTGACCCAACTTCTAAGTTCTAAGATGTCGAAGCAATCGAGGTTCAGACATACAACAACTGTAGGTTCAATGGTGTTTCATGGAATTAATTACATTAGCTTTACAGGCCGTGTGGTGAGGCAGGGATTCGAGGTTTCTTTTTGGTGATATAGAAGAGGAGGAGGTGGCAAGGTGTATAGGGTGTTAGGGTGGCATAAAACTGTCCAACTACAAAACCAAATCAAACCGCGACAAAATAAATCATAAAAAACTGTGTTGATAAAAAAAAAATTCAACTTAATTTTAAGAATCGAACCGAACCATGCAGATCGGTTCCGGTTCTAGTTTTCATTGAGACAGAATCGCTCAGAATCGAACTAAACCGTGAATATAAATAATAAATTAAATTTATTAGTTGTGTAAATTACCATAAGATACATTACGTAAAGTATGAAAGCTCAGACAAAAAAAAAAATATAAGCATTTGACAAAAGGAATGTGTGCCTAGAGGGATACTGAACTCAACCGTGAATATAAATAATAAATTAAATTTATTGGTTGTGCAAATTACCATAAGATACATTACGTAAAGAATGAATGCTCAGACAAAAAAATTATAAGCATTTGACAAAAGGAATGCGTGCCTAGAATCCCTCTGTAAGGTGTGTGGGTGTGGGCGGGCGTGTGTGGGTGCGTGGAGTGCATCTAGTTCATTTCTTTTTCTAAAAACAGACTATATTTTCTTACCCCTATGATCTCGTGCCAACCATTTGAACAACACCCTACAGGAATTATTACTCGCATTGGCTTTGAACCAACCCTAAACTACAGGAATCGGACCAATTTAAAACTACCTATATAGTTTCTAAAATTCGCGAAGGGACATATTGTCGGTACAAAAATCTCCTTGTATCATGCTAGTTGCCTACACTGAATTTTCTTGTGTGTTATCTTTTGACTTTTTATTGTTAAATTAATTTTACTATTAATCTTGGACCTAAATAAACGCATGGAACTTACATTAAAGTTTCATTAACTTCTTGTAGCCTACTGCTCCGTTGCACTTCGGTTGATTCATTGTGACCTAAAGGTTGTGGGTTTGCCAAAGGACATAGCCTAGCTGAAAGCATTAGAGTTTCTTTACGCATTTATATAAGATGTGTTATTGGTATTGGGATTGCTGGAAGACGCATTCGAATGTAAGCATCCAAAAAAGGAAAGAAAAAAAAAACAAGTAAACTTTGAATACCATTTTGATTTGGTATTTGGAACAATAAATCGGTATAAACCGAATCGAAACCGATATAAATCGAACCGTAGATATTTTCTAATTTCAATTCCGGTTTGAGGATGGAACCGAGTCAAACCATACCTTGCCCACCCTTAGAGGAGATTGCTCAGTGATTTTAGAAGGCGAGATGACTTTACTGGATTATTCTTTTCTTTTCTTTTTCAGTATACTCTAATATAGGATTCTATGGCATTTTAACAACATCAAATGCTCTATTAGGTGTAACAACATGTGTTGAAAAATTAACAAAAGAGACACCAAATGAGACAGCCATTTGGGGACAGCAAACCCGTTGCCATTGATTACAATTGTTTACGAGAGAACTACTAACTTTGACCATGAGCTTTCTACCTTCACTCTCAAATAGTAATAGCAGTCACATGATTTAATTAGTTCCAACCAAAATGTAATAAGGCTACCAATGTATGGGATGTTTAAATAGTTAAGACTTGAATTGTCAAAATTTAGTCATGGAAATCTAGTTGTTCAATGAATAGGAGTGCAACGGTGCATAGTAGAATTTTATAGCATAACTTCATGTGAATTTGTGGATCAGTTTCATATTTTTGGATTCTTTCTTTCAATGAAAGACTCAAACTTTAGATTAAAGGGATGAATTTTGGAAATGGGTTGGATTGTTTGTCTTTAATCTTCTTGGTTTTTGAGAAAATTGTGATAGCTTATTTTTATTTTTCCTTCTAAGAAATAAAATCTTTTCTGAAGTGTCGAATTGTCATGCATGAAGCAAGGCTGATCGAATCATATATTAAATTAAAAGACAGAAACCGAAAATATTTTATAAGGCGGATGACAAATTTAAGAACCCTTAGTCTAATCCCTTAATGGAGTACTAGATCATTGCTTAGATCACATAACGAATAAAAAAAAAAAAAGGTCAGTAGGGTGTCTTGTTCCTGAACTCCAAAACATATTTTAACGTCACAATGTTTTAGTAGCAATTGTAGCAAAGGTCCTTTACTTTTAATTCAACTGGAGCAATGATTCATCAACTTAAAATCGATAACTATTGGTCCCTAAACTCATTAAAACGTGCAGCTATTGTCGTTTTCGTCAACTATGTCAAAAACACCACCAAAATAAGTCACGTTGGAATGACCATTGCTATAATTGAGTTATAGTTGAGAGACTATTGCTACAATTGAGTTAAAGTTGAGGGACCAATTCTCCCATAGAGTTAAAGTTGAGGGACCATTGCAATAATTTTTCTCATTTGGTTTTCCATATTTGCTCTTTCATTCAGCCTGACGTGCATGACATATGAGTCATTTTGATCGAAGTTCTCATGAAGTTAATAAAAATGACCATAGCTACATGTTTTGATAAGTTAAAGGACCAACAGTCACAAATTTTTCGTTGAATGATCATTACTCCAATTAAGTTAAAAGTTAGGAATTATTGCTATAATTTTCTCCAATTTTTATGATATAATACCACATGTTTAAATTCACTAATTAAAATAAAAAACCAAATTAAGTCTTCAATATGCAGAGAGCTCGTTGTAACCAAATTCGACGACTCCACTAAAATCCACTAAAATACCATCAAGTGTTAGCAAGTGTTTCAACCAAATGCAACGAAATTGCTTATATTTTAAGACTTTAGAGTTTGATATAGACATATAATGATACTTACTAAATGCGCCACTGACATATCACTTTAAAAAAGTGTCGCTAAATTTATGTTGTCGGCTATTTCATATATGATTACGTGTCGAACAAAATTAAGTATTATGATTGTACTTTTTCAAAGGTGGAAAGGGTATTGCTAATCAAAGCGTAGCGGAGAACTGCTATCTCAATGCACCCGGATAGTAGCCGCTTCCCAGTTTCCATGAAGTCCGGCAGAACCCTTCAGCATAAAATAAACCGTTGAGTCAATATTGACCGGTATATTACCAACACGTCAGCAGCTACATGTACTCCCATGTTAATTAGGAAACGTGCTTCCAGCTTCGAAGACATGCATGGCTGGGTGCATGCACCCACGCGTATATATAAGCAGATTAGCAAGTTTGGATATTATAATTCACATCAACAAGAAATATGGCAGCTGATCCCATCGGAGAAGTTATTGTTGAAATTAGTTCTTACACCACAAGAAGCTCAGCCTCAGCTCAAGTTTTTCCGGACACAACAAGCCCCTCAAACTTAGATATTACAAGTACAAATTGGGAATGTGGTGAGCTCAATCCACAGGACGCGTGGCTACCCATCACTGAGTCCAGGAGTGGCAATACCTACTATGCTACCTTCCATTTACTCTCTTCAGGAATTGGAACTCAAGCCCTTTTACTACCTCTTGCATTTGCCACTCTTGGATGGTAAGCAATAACCCTTTACTTACATCAAGCCAGTGATTTTCCACACTTTTTTTTTGTGGTTTACTGTAGACAAAAGTATAAGATATTCAGTTTGAAATGTAGATGATTAATTCATAACACACACCAGTAACTTTTCTCAATGGTTGCAGGCCTTGGGGAATTATATGCTTCTCACTAGCATTTGTGTGGCAAATATACACCAAATGGCTTCTCGTACATCTACACGAATCTGAAAATGGATTTAGGAACAGTAGATACCTCCACCTCGCACTAACGGCCTTCGGTTAGTAAACTGTACATCAAGCTCATATAACAATTAAACTAAAGAAGAGTTCTATGCACACACTCTGAAATTTAATCTCCTATCATAATTTGAAAGCTACAATATTGCTAGTCATATATATTAAGACATTTCAAAACTAGCCCTCTATATGTTATATATAGAGGGCGTTGTCCTCTTTAGTCATCAAAGAGGAGTATAAAATTCATTGCTTGGGTGTGAAGAATTTTTGTGTGAACAGAAGCCCACAAATAAATGGATAGTTTCCATTCTTTTTCAGGTAAAAAGTTAGGGATGATTCTAGCAATGTTCCCAGTTATCTATCAATCAAATGGTACTTGTGCACAGCTGATCATCGTAGGAGGTGGAACCTTGAAGCTTTTCTTCAAAACTGTGTGTGAGGATGGAGCCACTTGCCATCCATTGACTGGTACCGAGTGCTTCTTGTTGTTTACATGCATGGCTGTGGTTCTCGCCCAATTTCCCAACTTGAACTCCGTAGCTAGACTCTCCTTGATCGGTGCCGTCGCATCAGTTGTATATTGCACTACTGTTTGGACTCTTTCAGTTGGAAAAGGCAGGGACCATGACTACACATCATATGATCCACCAGCGATGGAGTCCACCATGGATATATTTGGTGGCAAACTGAATGCTGTTGGCATTATTTTTCTTACATTCAGAGGTCACAATGTAATTCTTGAGATACAGGTGAGCCTCCTTGCTAATTGTAAGATTAATTTTACGTTTCATTAGTTTTCTTGAAACTTTGGGTGGGTTTTCTATATGCTCTATGCTGTGGCCATGTAGAAGAAGGGCTCATTGGGCTCTGATACTGTTAGTAAATTCCTTAGCTTGCTAGTTTATACTTGTGACTTATTAGTACTAATTATCACCGTACGTGCCCGCACGTTCAACGGATTGCATTATCCGTGTATTTGGTCAACACTTTTGATAGTTGGTCATATCGGCTAATATCAATAGTGTATTATGGACGGTACTCAACACCGGCTAGCTACTGATGCCCTACCATGAAGTTGGGTAATTTGTGCAATGTATCTATCAATATATGTAAAGGTGATGAAGTTCACCAACTTATGCTGCAGGGCACATTACCATCAAACCCCAGATACCCAATACATAAGCGAATGTGGAGAGGAGTGACTATAGCTTATGCACTCATAGCCGTGTGTTTTCTTCCTCTGGCCATAGGTGGATTTTGGGCTTTCGGCAACAAGGTAAGAGCGAATTATGTTTTGATTTAAATATGCTTAGTCACTTCAATCGCAATGAATAGTTTTTTTTATATTATCAAAATGTATTTCGATTTATGCAGGTACCAACTTCCTATAGAGGAGTATTAATCTTGGTTTCACAATTCCATGGACATAAAAACACTTCAAACTTTGTACTTGGATCATTTTGCATGCTTGTGGTGATACACTGCTTAAGCACATTCCAAATCTATGGCATGGTGGCTTTTGATAGTCTGGAGTCAAAGTACACTATCAGGAAGAACAAGCCGTGTCCAAGGTGGCTTCGCGTAGCTTTACGCATTTTCTCCGGAGGAGTGGAATTCTTCATAGCAGTTGCTCTTCCATTCTTGGGAAGCCTGGCACCTCTAATCGGAGGGTTGACATTGCCTTTGGCATATGCTTACCCATGTTTCATGTGGATTTCAATCAAGAAACCAAAGCAAAAAGGAGCAGTGTGGTGGATTAACATAGGACTTGGATGCTTAGGCTTGGCTTTGAGTGTCATTTTAGTTGTTGCAGCAGCTTGGAATTTAGCTGACAAAGGTCTAAATGCCAACTTCTTTAAGCCTTAAAATTCATACTGAAGCTAAGCAAATTGTGTAATTATTATGTTTGAAATTGCACTAAAAAAAAAGTAGTCATTATTGACGAATTTTTCTGAGGGCCCTAATAAACCGTCGTAAAAAGAACATTTTGCAATCATAAAATATGGGTTGTCGGTAACATGGCATGAAACAAATTTTTATTACCAACGCACATAATGTCCTCGGAAAAGGTCCCAAGTTTCGTCAGAAATGCACTTTTGTTTGGCGGGAAGAATTGGCACCAATTGTATTAACAACGAGTAAAGTTCTTATTGGAAATAGAATGGTTATTTCTGAAGGTTTACTCATGTTGACGAAATTGATTTAGTATTTTTGAGGGGAAAAAAGTCCTCTCGGTAATGTTTTTATATTTTTTATGGAAAAAAAGTCCTCTCGATAACGCTTTTATATTTTCGAGGGTGATTAATTGTTGCCGGAAGTAATCATATTTTTCTTGACAAAATTTTTTCTTTATCAAAATAAAATTTTAAAGCATATGGTTTTGTTGGAATCAATTATCACATGTGTCGTTGGAATATTCTTGAAATAAGTTTGATGCTTAATTTAAATTTTACAATAAATAGATCATATAACTTAGAATACATATGGAAAAAAACACAAAACCATATTAAAATAGTACTATCCATTAGTGCAAATATTTTAAATTGAAGATCGAATTTGTTTGTCGTACTCTTATAGGGTTGAGGAGTGTAGTTGTAAAAAATCAGCAAGATTTGAGTTAAAATAACCGTTAAATCGTGAATTTTCGTTTATAACCGTTGAAAGATTTCGTCCCATTACCTAATATCTGAATGTCCATTTTTTACAATTTTTTACATATGCGATCTTGGAGCATATGCAAACAAGTTTGACGGTTGGATCTTTGAAACTAGTTTTGCAGAATGTGTAACCCTTCAAAACGATAGATTCAACAAACACTTGAAGTTTATTTTATAATTCCATTAAGTAAAACATAATAATTTATGGTATCCACTAGTGTAAATATTTTAAATTGAAGATCAAATTCGTTCATCGTACTCTTATAGAGTTGAGGTGTGTAGTTGTAGAAAATCAGCAAGTAAAATAACCGTTATATCATGAGTTTTCGTTTATAACCGTCGAAAGATTTCATCCCATTACCTAATATCTGAATGTCTGTTTTTTGCGATTTTTTTACTTATGCGATCTTGGAGCATGTACAAAAAAGTTTAATAGTTGGATCGCTAAAACTAGTTTTGTAGAAGTATCCCTTCAAAACAATAGATTCAACAAACACTTGGAGTTTATTTTATACTTCCATTAAGTAGAACATAATAATTTGTTGTATCCACTGGTACAAATATTTTAAATCGAAGATCGAGTTCGTTCATCGTACTCTTATAAGGTTGAGGAGTGTAGTTGTAAAAAATTAGCAAAATTGGAGTTAAAATTACCGTTAAATCTTAAGTTCTCGCTTATAATCGTCAAAAGGTTTCGTCCCGTTATCTAATATCTGATTGCCTATTTTTTGCGATTTTTTACATATGCGGTCTTGGAACATGTACAAACAAGTTTGACAGTTGGATCGTTGAAACTAGCTTTGTAGAATGTGTATCCCTTCAAAATGATAGATTCAACAAACACTTGGAGTTTATTTTATACTTCCATTAAGTAGAACGTAATAATTTGCGGTATCCACTAGTACAAATATTTTAAATTGAAGATTGAATTCGTTCATCATACTCTTATAGAATGCAAATATTTTAACACTCAGATCGTTGAAATTTATTTCATAAAATGCATATCCCGTTAAAACAATAGATTAAAATAGAATATTACATTTTGACAATATATATATATATATATATATATATATATATATAGAATCATTCATAATTAAAAAAAATTTGGAGGAGGCGGGAGACAAAAATTTTGGCATGAGAGAGCACACATCGCTGTTTAGCTCTCTGCCCTCCTCATCTCTCTCGCAAATCTGCCTTTCCTTTCCAGAAACAAAACCTTAACCTCTATCCTTCATTTCGTTCTCAAAATCTCAAAGTTGCATTCATCAAAATCTTCTCCTTTCTCTCTATATGTGCCTTCATCCAAAAATTTCCACACGTCCTCCCCTCCTTTGCAACAACAAACCCCTCAAAATTCACTAATCTAAACTTAACTCTAGAAGGGAAAACCATGGGTTCCTCTGCTACACACCACAGCCGCTGCACTACGAACCCATCTTCGTCGTCCATCGGAAAACCCAAGAAGAAGTTTTGATCGTCGGCCGACACCAGGAGTGCAACATCATCTTGGCTCTGCAAATTCCACCTCCAAATCCTTTCTGACCCTTTTTCCCAAAAGCTCTCACCGATTTGTGATCAGGTAATATATTGGGGTTTCTCTTTGTTTCGTCCTATCATTTTCCTCATTTTCTATGTCCAGTTATGAAGCATCTTTTGATTTTTATTGATAAAGACCTTTTCTTTCTCCAATTATGCCTCTGTCAACTCTTTGTCTGACATGCTCCATTTTCCATTTCTTTAAGCCCAGGTGCTGCTCAACAGGGATGTTGTTTCTACGTGATGATCGCAGCTTCCATTTTCTCTACTTAACCGATTCAGGGGCCATCATATGGTTAGTAAATTGAAGATGTATCCCTCAATTTCATTAAATAACTTAAGCTGGAATAAATCTTGGTAACCCATAGATTTGGAATATGTCCATTGTGATAAAAAATCAGTGGGATGGTCCACTTTGCTTCTTACGTATGCGAATGAGTATGTCTTGTTCTGATTGAGATGTTAAGGGAAATGCTCCAACGTAATAAAGAACAGTTTGTACGAAAGGTCTCTCTGTCAACTGACAATTTTCTTCTGAAATGTTGTTGCTGAGTTGCCCCTTGCTGTCCTGCTAATTCTGAATGCCTTTGGAATGAGATGCATGCTGAGTGCAATGGATTGTGAAGTACCTTGGATCCTTAAAGACAAAGACTCATCTTCACATAATCCTAGAGTAAGCGAGCTTGTAATTTTTCCCCAATATTTCGTGTGGAAACTCTGTTGAGAAAACTGTGTGATGTTTGGATTGCTATACTTGTAGATATGTGGAGAATGGCTCACTTGCCAACATTATCAAGCCAAACAAATTTGGACCTTTCCCAGAATCATTGGTAGCTGTGTACATTGCTCAGGTTCCGTAATATCCTTGCAGCTTGTTATTTGTATGTGTAGGCGCAAATATTTGGACTTGATATTCGTTATGATACAGGTTCTGTAGGGGTTAGTATATTTACATTAACTGGGCGAAATCCATCGGGACAACTAAAAAGGCAACTTACATGTGTATTTCTCATTTTTTTTTTCTAGACGAGTTTTCATATATGGTTACTGTGGAACCAAAAATAATCACAAGGCGACACGTGGATTTTTGGATAGAAGAGGACAAAAATACCCTTGAGGCATACCGGGATTCCTACGCGCAAACAGCGGACAATCATCCCTCAACCAAGTCAAAAATGCCCAAAATAGATAACAATTCAAAATCAATCTCATTAAATCCCTTCTACAAGGTAACTCCCAAAACCTATTTCATTCTATATATTTTTACCTCTTTTTCCCTCTTTTAGCTAATCAATTAGCTATCATTTCATAACTTACAAAATATCCACATAAATTACATAACCTCCAAAATATTCATTCCAAAAATGTGTTAATTGGCTAATTAATGGATTAATTACCTAATTAATCCATTAATTGCTAAATAACTCACACATTAAACCACAAAATGCACACAAAAACCATCCCAAAGGCCGGCCACCTTTTCTCTAAATGGGACCGGCCATGCCCTATAAATACTATCCATTTTCTCTAAAAACCTAGTTCCATACTCTTGCAAAACTCCCAAAAACTCTCCAAACACTTTTCTATCTAAATTCTAACTTTGGCATCGGAGGTTCTTCAGCCAAAGCCCCCCCCCCCCCCCCGCGCCCCCAAATTCATCGTGAGCACGTGAGGCTCTTGGCCTTGACCTCAAGTGTTAATTGTTTTGTAGGTGCAAATTTGTCCAAGAAGAAGAAGACGGAAATTTGCATCCACAGTCACTATCATGTTCTTGTAAAGTATATATTGATCTACCATCTGTTGCTTGTGTACCTTTTCCTTTTTAGTAATAACTTATTGTATTTCTTGATCTGTATGAAGCATCCTTTTCAGGGACTTGTGAAACTAGTTGATTTCGGTGTTGCGACAAAACTGACTGAAGCGGATGCTAATACACATTCAGTTGTTGGAACACCATATTGCACTAGTACAAAAAACACTTTGCGCAACGCAGGTCCTTCGTCGCGCAAAATCAAAAAACGTCGCGCAAAGTCAAAAAACGTCGCGCATAAACCGTCACGGCAAGGCAGTGACAGAAGGCTTTGCGCGAGGCAAGTAACCCCATCGTCGCGCAAAGACACTTTGCGCGACGTATTTTGCGCGACTCAACATCCGTCACGCAAGTTTCTTTGCACGACGCATGTAAAGGCTTCGTCGCGCAAAGTGTCTTTGCGCGACGTATTTTGCGCGACTCAACCTACGTCACCCAAGATCCTTGCGCGACGTATTTTGCGCGACTCAACCTACGTCACTCAGGATCTTGCGCGACGTATTTTGCGCGACCCAACCTACGTCACTCAAGATCCTTGCGCGACGTAGACTATAGTCGCTCAAAGTGTCTTTGCGCAACGCATGTTCCCAAGTTGCGCAAAGATACTTTGCGCGACGCAGTCTACGCCACGCAAAGATACTTTGCGCAACTTGGGAACATGCTTTGCACGACGTATTGTATGTCGCGCAAAGTGGAAATTTGGTTTTGGTAAAAAAATATTACTTTCTTAATTTTTAATAATATTGTAATTAAATTCTAAATAATAATTAATTAACCAAAGAAAAGTATTTAATTATACAATATATGAAAATGTACATACAAGATGTCCAAATAAAAAAGAAAAAACTACAAGTAATCTTCTAGGTGAAGTGGCTCGGAGGTTGAAGGTGTAGCAAGATCAGGTATTGGTAGTGAGATTTGGAGGCCGGTCATCTGTATGGCTCGTATAAGATCTCTCATCTGTCCGTCATAACTATGCAGCTGCTCGCCCTGGGCCCTTATCTGCTCGCCCTGGACCTCAAGCTGACCCTTTAGGGTTATCACTTCCTCCTTCAATGAATCGACCTCTGTGGTGTTTGATCTGGAAGAAGAGGCACCAGTCTCACGAAGTCGTGCTTTCCCCATGCACCGAACAACCTTGCCGTGACAAGGACCGAAGTTCTGATCTAGGACATCAGTCAAAATTTGAAAACCTGCATCATCAGGTACTGTGACGTCCTCAATTGGGGTCTCCGGGGGAAGTTGCGATGTTGCTTCTTGGAGAACAGTAGTGCTCTTTTCCACCATAAGAGCCTGTAATAATAAAGAAAAAACATATATATAAATAATATTTGAACGATTCATACATATAAGAATAATAACAATTACATATACTTACATGAAGCTGCCCAGCGGTCTCATCTCCAGGTCGAACGTAAACGTCCTCGAACATGTCGATCTCTGGGAACTTAGAACCCTCCTGAAGAAAGAAAAAAAAACATTAAGAAAATTTTATTAATCAATAATAATAAATAAATTGTATAAAATTTCTAAATTAATATACTTTTACCTGACGTCGTGTCTGAAGCCTATATGAAAAGGGCTTCGAACCAGAATGGTGGAGAAGTGTCTTTGACTCCCGAGCTATCTTGCCAGCAACAGATTTCTTCAACTCGCTTGGGCAACCATGTAGGCGAGCAATCTCCGGAGTATCCCATAGCTTAAAATGCGTGTGAAGATAGTTCTTCCAATGTTTGTACCGGATTGCTAAGGTCTCATCTAAGTAGGCCTTGACCTCGGGAAATATATCATCAAGATCGAAAATTACCTACGAATATGAAAAACAATAAAATAATAGTAAGAAATATAATAATATTAAGATAATATATTTTGGTTTTTAATATTTGTAAACAAAACTAAAAAAATGATATTGAATCCGAATTTGTTTATTTAGATGAAGAAAATAATGCAAGAATCGGAAAAATAATTTATGAACCCAATGACATTCATGAACAAGCAACTCAGACATGGCATAAAGTACAAGATTATAATAAACAAGAATCGATAAGATTAGCTTATGAATTTGAAAAAGAAACAAAAGAGGTAATTTCAAAAATTGATGAAATAGATCAAAATGAATTAAATAACGAGATACAAGAGTTGGATGATTTAATTTCATTACTAGATTCGATACATACCTAAGTAATCCAGTGAGTCAAAATGAATATACAGAACATCAAGAAGAACAATATTTTTATGCAGAACCAAGTAGTTAAAGGTTAAAAATTAATACACTAACCGACAACTTGTCTCGCACCAAATCATTCGTACAATCTGGAATTTCTGCCCATTTCTCCCACTGCATAGGACAAATTTGTTTAATAACAACACCACAGCTACTAGCGATGATGCTATGTTGTTGAGCTGTAGCCGCTCCACGATGTAGTGGGTCATACTCAATCTTGATCTTGGAGCCAGTCAAACGTACACTCTGTGCCGGCTTCAGCATTCGACTAGGCCCCCTAGTTTTTTTTTTAGCTGGCCAAAAATACTTAAATGGTGAAAACCCAAAGCTTAAATTTTCACAAAAAATTCAACATAACTTCCCCTAATAGTATAGCATTTCCCAAAATGATAATATAGCATTTCACAATCCAACATAACTTCCCCTAATAGTATAGCATTTCACAATCCAACAAATTTTTAGCATCATAAAAATAATAATTTTAAAATGAAAAAAAAAATACAACGTAGTCATCAAGAATTAGAAAAAAAACTACCTGGATGGGAGGCCTCACCCTCGACTCTGGATGCTGCGGAAGTGTGATCAGAAGGGTCCGGCTCACGACGACGTCGGTGAGGTCGTCGTGCACTGAGCGGTTGAATGGATATTGATGATGTCGATGAGACAGGCACCTGGGGCCCCATAGGAGTAGCCTCAGTAAGGGGTGTAGGAGGCTCATTGGTCACGCTCCGACGACGATTGATCAAATGCGACATCTATACACTTAATTTGCGTCGGCTTCGAGTTTGGCGTCACTGCCTTGCGAACGAGAGGGAGAAAGATGAGTCTTAAAAATCAAATTCGGATTCAATATACGGGAAAGAGGGAAAGAGGGAAAGAAAAAGGGAAAAAGGGAAGAAGGAAAGAAGTTTATACGGGAGGGAAAGAAGGAAAGAAAGAGGGAAAATCAAGTGGTCTATTAGATTAAGAGGGAAAGAGGGAAAGAGGGAAAGAAAAAGGGAAAAAGGGAAGAAGGAAAGAGGTTTATACGGGAGGGAAAGAGGGAAAGAAAGAGGGAAAATCAAGTGGTCTATTAATTATATTAAGTGGTCTATTAGATTAAGAGGGAAAGAGGGAAAGAGGGAAAGAGGGAAAGAGGGAAAGAGGGAAAGAAAAAGGGAAAAAGGGAAGAAGGAAAGAAGTTTATACGGGAGGGAAAGAGGGAAAGAAAGAGGGAAAATCAAGTGGTCTATTAATTATATTAAGTGGTCTATTAGATTAAGAGGGAAAGAGGGAAAGAGGGAAAGAAAAAGGGAAAAAGGGAAGAAGGAAAAAGGTTTATACGGGAGGGAAAGAGGGAAAGAAAGAGGGAAAATCAAGTGGTCTATTAATTATATTAAGTGGTCTATTAGATTAAGAAGGAAAGAGGGAAAGAGGGAAAGAGGGAAAGAAAAAGGGAAAAAGGGAAGAAGGAAAGAGGTTTATACGGGAGGGAAAGAGGGAAAGAAAGAGGGAAAATCAAGTGCTTCATGTCCGGTTACAGTTGTCAAGGGCTCACACAATCATCCAAACCATATATAACTCGATTAATTAGCTTTCTAAATATAATTTTCCCGGGAAATCAAATCAAGCATCAGACAAGAGGATCATCAAACAGCCAAACCGACACAAAAATGTAAACGAACAAACCAGAAACAAAATCGCATTGCTGCTAATTCAAATTAGATAAACGAACATGAAGATATTACAGCTTTTGATAATATAATATAAAAAATTGTCTTAAAGAAGATATTAGATGCTAATCTCAAAATAAATTATAGCTGCTTGAGAAATCTTCTTCAACCTGAGAGAAGCAGAATTGTCTTAAAGAACATGAAGATATTACAGCTTTTGATAATATAATATAAAAAATTGTCTTAAAGAAGATATTAGATGCTAATCTCAAAATATATTAGATGCTAATTGCAAATTCCATCTGAATATCGAAAGTTGTCAGCAAGATTCTATCACCTATGCAAATATCTCCATCATCATCACATTCAAATCAACTTTAGTTAATTGAATTAACTTTAATAATTGTAATAGGAAGTAATGATTATGTCCAACCTTCCGGACAACATTTGTAGAAAAACTTTAGTTAATTGAATCAACTTTAGTTAATTGAATTAACTTTAAAAAAATTACCAAAAATGTGACTTTACTCCTTTCAAGTTCAATTTTTATTTCACATAAACCCATAATAATTTTTTTTTAAATATATTATTCAATTCCATCTTCTCCTTGGTGATTGCATTGAGGCTTGATCTTAGTGATTCCACAGGCTTACTCGTGAACTGGGCTGGAAGATTCTTTTGGTTTCCTCCAATCGTTGATTTTCCACAGGCTACTCTTGAACTGGGCTGGAAGATTCTTTTGGTTTCCTCCAATCGTTGATTTTCCACAGGCTACTCTTGAACTGGGCTGGAAGATTCTTTTGGTCTCCTCCACTCGTTGATTTTCCTTTGTGCTACTCTTGAACTGGGCAGCAGGATTCTTTTGGTCTCCCCCGAAGGTCTGAGCTTCCTCCTTTTATCTGTTTCTTTGTTCAATCTTTCCAATTCGTATTGAAGAGGGTTAGAGGATAGCTCAGCATATGCAGTTGTTGCTTGTCTCCACATGCTACAACTGAACATTTTCACTTGCCTTACTTACTCCCCTTTGCAGAAGTGGTCCCTTCTCTGGAAGTGTATCAACCGTTGAAGATGACTACTCGAGAGCAACGCTAGGTAAGCAACCAGGGAATAGATTCCAGGCAGTCGGACCCAGATCGGAAGACTGACTCCAAGTGCCGGCTGATTGCTTCTTTCACTTTGCCATGCAAGTAAGAACAAGGACAAAGAAAAAGACAGGGAAAGAGCATGATATGAGATACTTTTGCTTTTGACCTTGATGATATGAGATACCTTTGCTTTTGAAGAAGCGGTGAATGAATCAGCACATGTATTTGTTGTGCTTGTCTCCACATGCTTCAATCTACCGTTTCCTCCTGGGTCATCTGTACTCCAGGCATCTGGTATCTTCTTTGGGGAAGAAGAAAAAATTGAGTATTTCGAAAGGCTTTGCTGGGAGTGCGCCCTCAAAGGTGAGGAAGAGTTGGGCATTTTCTTCAGGTCTGTCTTGCCATAAAAGATGAAGGTCGACATATATAGGGATTTCTCAATAGCAAGTGGTGGTACTGTTCTTTTACCCTTGTCGACAAAAGTTCTGAACAACGCCTCTTCGATTTCTGAACGACGCCTCTTCGATTTCTGAACTTCAAATAGTGATGACTCTTCGATCTTTGAATAAGCGGCCCTTCGATTTCTGAATAAGCGGCCCTTCGATTTCTCGAGCCCAGAGCCAAACGGCTCTCTTCTGTCCATTCCCATCCCCTGTGCAGAAGGATAATAATATTATTTGTTGTAAACCCCGAAGCCCTTTGTTCTCTCTAGAAAAATGAGAGACATCTCTCACTACTCTCATTTCAAACCTCCACGCGTCTTCAACTTTGTCAGAGATATGAAAAGCCGAGATTGTGTCTGAAGAGTGTTGACGAAATTTACGCAGGAAAATCCGGTGGTTGTGTCGCAAAGTCTTTATAGAGGTGATCGATCACCTCTAACATGCACACTTTGAAGATTGCCCATCCGTGAAAATCGTCTCCGGCCCTTTGAGATTTTACTCCATCCAACCCTTCTCTTTTAACATCTTTGAAAATGGCTAACCCATCTAACATTTGCTTAGATTTGAGTCTCAGCAGTGATCCGGTTGCGCCGCGTCAAGGTAATGTATGGTGCCCGTCTTTCTTATCTTCTAATGGCCCTCTTACAGGTGAAGACTCTGTGATGACGGATGCAACAACAGCTACGATAGTAGCTAGGAACCTCCTTACTCCCAAAGATAGTAGGCTGCTTTCAGGACGGTCCGATGAGTTGGCCGTTCAAGAGTCCCTCGCTCTCAGTGTTCAGTGTGCGGGCTCTGTGTCCAACATGGGCCAACGCCTGCTTGCTCGATCCCGTCAAGTGGAATCATTGATGGCAGAGGTGGAAAATCTTAAGCAAGAGATCAAACAACTTAAGTACGAGAATAGAAGTTTGCATGTGCTTGCAAATAACTATTCGACGGGTATGAAGAGGAAGCTTGATGAGCTGCAAGAATCTGAAGGTCGAATTCAAAGTGACCGTCAAAGGTTTGCGGCTTATCTCCAGAGGCACCTTTTTCCTGGGTCATCTAGCGTTCCACCTAGTATTGAGGCCTCGAATGCTCTATCTTCGATGCCTCCCGCTCCAATGCCTCCTGCTCCGATGCCTCCCGCTCCGATGCCTCCTACTCCGATGCCTTCCGCTCCGATGCCTTCCGCTTCTAGAGTTTTGCCACATAGTGGGGCTTCACGTAAACAACCTTTGTGAAGGCTCCATCATTCTGCCAT